TTCACAAAAACTTCTGCCAGAATGGTGTTGGGCAGGGCAAGCTGGGGCTTCCCAGGAATCTCTCTGACACAGTGCTGAGACTGTGCCCCAGTTGTGTAAGTGCTATATGAACTCACACAATGCGTTCATTCAATGAACTCATCCCTAAGAGAAGAGTAGACAGCAAGAGGAGCCACAGAGACATGAAATGAGAACTCCATGGGACTCGCTTCCCACCAGTAGACCCCTGCCACAAAGGTAGAATCCAGGAGCCTGCTGTTACATTTGAACAAAGCCAGTGCTGAATCCCAACAAAGGACCCTGAACTATATAGTGCAGGCCAGTTGACAGCTGCCAATGACAGTGCTGTGAAACCAGCTTCAAAGACACAACACTGGGGGACCATGAGCTGGAAACAGAAATGAAAACAGCCCTTTGTGCCCCAGAGGTATAAACAAAGAGCCTGCCAAGCCACCACCCCACTCTCACCACCATACTGGAAGAGGTGGGACATGGGGCTCTCTGAAACTTCGAGATAGAAATGAAAGCACAAAGTACACAGAGTGGAAGGGCACAGAGGGGGGGTGGCAGTGGACAGGTAGATTGTTACAGAAGGCATCCCAGAGCTTCCTAAGCTTCCTCCAGTGCTAAAATTTGGAGCTACAGCCATATAACAGTACAATTTTTCCCGGCGTCCTGGGTGCAGCATTGAAGCCATTTTAGACATTCCATTAAAAAGAGCTCCCAAGAAACGTATAGTATATTGTTACTGCTCTTTTTATAGCAGCTTTCATAATTAGAGTAATTTATGTCAGGATTAGATGATTCAGGAGGGAAGGTCTGAACAGAAATTTAATTGCAAGAGATAAAGTATCAAAGCAGATGCTCAAAATCTGTTCAGAAGTCAAAAGCCAAAATGAAGACGCTGTTCATTTCAGTGGACTGCCAGGCTCAGGTAGAAAGAGCAAGATTTTCATAAAGGCCAGAGAAACTACAGAATTAGGGGATTGATGTTGGAGCTACCCATTGGCGCAAATCTAAGCTCCCTGGGGGACTCTTTTGTCTGCAAGATCCCCAGGTATGCACTGGATAAGAACCCACTAGGCCATACTGACCTCCTGACTTTATCTCAGCTTCCTGTGGTTCTGTCTTACGGCTCTGCAGTTCACACGTCTATCCAAACCTATCTGGAATCCAATTACATTGCCAGCTTGGGCCACCTCTGGGAGGTGATCCACTCCACAAATTCATTATCTGCTGCGTGAAGTAGTATTTTCACTGACTTGTCCTGAACTTGCCTCACTTGTGGTTCCAAGGTGCTGCTAGATCTCAGGATTTGGTGAACAAGTCTGTGCTCATCTCATCCACACCATTTATAGTCCGATAGTTTCCTCCTTACAGCCTTCTTCGTCTTGGCTGCTCTCGCCGTGGACACAGCCCTCTGACTTCCTGTCCGGTCCTCGGGGCACCCAGGTTGCTGTTTAGGGACTTTTCAGTAGCTCTGTTTGATCCTTCCAGACCTTCACGCAGTGTTCCAAGCAATACACCATAGTTTTAGGTGAGAGTATGAAAATGGGGACCAGCAGTTGGCATAATGCCTATGTCGCTGGACTCTCATGTAGTAGACCACGGTTCGAGTCCCGGACCTGGTGGCTTAAACTCACACCGTGAGTGCATGCCCAAGATCCCAAGAGGAGAATGGAGGAGAAGGGATCACAGCATGGCCAACCCCCTGAGGGGTGATTTCTCGCTTTCTGTCTCTCTGTCTCTTCTCTCTGTCTTTCTGGAGAGTGCACGTGCCCTATAGCAAAAACCTCTCAAAAAATTTTTTTTAAAAAAAGAGAATACAAAAATGTTCTCTATTTAAAATTTTCCACACCTGCCCATTTTAATGCAGCACCATCCTGGGTGCAACTATGGGGTATTAAACTTGGCTTCTAGACTCTAGGAGTTTGCAGACTGATGGGAAACTGTCCCCAGGTGGCGCAAGTAGATTAGTGCTGGTCAATGCTGTGGGTCAGACTCTCTGAAATGGGGCATTACCAAGGAAGAAAAGCAAGTGTAGTCAGTCTCAGATTCCAAGTGGACTATCCTTCAATACTTAATACCTCATTGATTTGCACAATATCCAAGAGGGAAGCAATACCTTTTGACTGTACCATACTGATGTGAAACCAGAGCTCAGCTCCTGCCCAGAGCTGTGGGTGGATGGAGTGGGGGTGGGAGGGTGGTCACTCAAAAAGAAAAAAGTCCACATTTTCGGTCTCAGTTCACAAATCGTCTTATTTGGGTTTCTCTCTAGCTCTCTTTGTGTGTGTGTGTGTGTGTGTGTGTGTTTTGTTTTGTTTTGGAGAGGTTTTTGCTATAGGGCACATGTGCTCGCCAGAAGGACAGAGAGACAGAAAGCGAGAAATCATCTCCCAGGGGTCTCTCTTTTTAAAAGTAGATGCTAATGCTCTGTTTCACTCCATTTAGAACCCAGTAATCTCTTAAACATCTTCATATCGAAAACAGGAAAAATACTGAGGATTAAACAAAATGTAGCAGCACTGTGGTTGCCTGAGGTCATTCATGAGATCATAGAGGTTAGGATTTCACTGCCAAGAGAGTAAAGTGGTAGGCAGGGGCTCTAACCTGCTTTTTCACAAGGAATGCATCATCCATGCACAGGGAGGACATCCTGGCCAGGCGCCCACTCCTTCCTTCTGCCACAATTGCATCTTTCTTGCACGGTCAGTACCCCTACACATTCTGCAGCCTTCACAACCCAGCGCGAGCAAATCCATCATCGTGGCCCCCTCTAAGTCCTTGATTTCTCAGCCACAGAAGCTACTAGCTTTAGCACTAGTCTGTTTTGCGTACTCACTAGACAGCACAGAGTTAACACCGTGTGGTGTTAGCCTGGTTTTCTTTCTACTCTGACTTTGTCTATGAAGTTAATTGCCTCAATTTCTCTCACTTAATTTCTCCCAGTTTTTCTCTTAAAAGCAACCTTATATAAGAGTCACCTCAGCCCAAACCAGTCTGTAATGTTCTAGATTTCCAGGAAGATATTTCTATAGCCTTCTCCCAATAGGTGTTATTCTAAGCTTTCACATATCCCTACTCCAGTGTGGGATTCCTTCACAAAAGGCAATTTCCTCCTCTGCTGGATGATAGAGTGGTAAAAGATATGAATGGGGTTGGGGCCTGCAGGTGGTGTGGTGGTTAAAGGCACTGTACTCCCACATGGCCGACTACAATTCAAGTCCTGAACCTCATGGCTTCCTCTCTCTCTCTCTCTCTCTTTCTCCCCTTCTCTGGTCAAATTAAAATAAATAAATAAAAGTTAAATAAAATAATTCTTTAAAGAAAAAAGAATGAATGGGGTGGGCAGGGAGGAGAGGTAGAAACACTAAGACTCAAATCTGAGATCCGCCATTAATTAACCATGTGATCTTAAGGAAATTACTTAACTTCCTCTGAACTTCAGTTTCCTTATCTGTAAAATGAGCTTATTACTACTCATAAATGTGCTATGAAAGATTGAATGATACATTGTGTGTAAGGATCACTCTATACAGGCTCTACATAGCTGGGCAGAGGTGTGACAGCAGTCATTACAGTTTGTAGTAATTCAATGAGTCATTACAGAGTGTCTTTTCTCAGCTTGGCAAACACATCTACTGCAAGAAGCCCCTTGGTGTGGACATTGAGTTGCTTGATCCAATGTCTAGACTCTCTCTTCCTAAAAATGCTGTATCTCCTTTCAAAGCCCAACCTCCCCCTGGCCCTGCCTGCCTGTCACCCACTAGCCCACCTGCTTCTGAGGGCCATGTTCGCCCTTTGTCTTGCTCAAATACGGACTTTTTGAGTTTGCTGCTTCTGGATTTCTGAACTATCTTATCTAATCTTTCTTTGACAAAAACTTTTGCC